CAGGAGCCCCTAGTAGCTTCTTGTTCCTAGTGGTATGGTCAAGAGTCCCTAGTAGCTTCTTGCTCCTAGTGGTAAGGTCAGGAGCCCCTAGTAACTTCTTGTTACTAGCAGTAAGGTGAGGAGGCCCTTGTAGCTTCTTGTAGGTCTTCAAGGATGTCACTTCGAAAGGAAATCCAAATCTCTTCCCGCCTCACCCATGATGCCAATCTGCCCTGCCCGGCCAACTGCCGGACGTAGCTGAGGATCCAGCAGCAGCACCTGACAACATCGATCCAAGATCAAGATCCTCGATAGCAAGTTAAGAAAAAACAAACATCCTTGTTGTGCGTTACTAACCTACTAGCAATGGCCTCCAGCAGAGCAGAATTTTGCATTCTATCATTTGCACAAACCGCTGACAAGTGCGTGGAGGCATGGATCATTTAGATGGAGAAAGGCAAATGCAAAGCAAACCGCTGCTGAGATGTGCCAAGCAAGTACGCCACCAGTCTGTTGACAACACTGTATCGAGTGCATCTTATGAATATGGAAAAAATCATGTACAGAATTGCCGGAAAAATGTCCCAAGTTCCACAAGACTAACATCTCAAGTTCGCCTGATGCCAGGACACTGGTCTCCCAATCGGCAGCGTTTGCACCTGAGACGGTTCAATGAGCGTTATTAGGTTCAACCTAATAGCGATGGCCTCCAAGCTACTAGCGTCCGATCGCTCCTAGTAGCGATGCCAGGAGCCCCTAGGAGCTTCTTTATCCCAGCAGTGATGGCCTCCAACCTAACATTTGCTAAGAGGTCCCTCATCAAGCAATCTCCAAATTCGGGTGGCGCTGCTCTGTTTTGCTCTGTCCCTTTGCCTGGGAGCTGTCTGCCCAGTGAAGATTGTTCATGCTGGCGCATCCGAAGGAGGGGTTTCTTCAGTTGTTCAAGTTGAGTTTCCCCAAACATCTAGGAACCAAATCAGAAGGCTCAGGCTTCCTTAGAGAAGCCAGCAGTCTTCTGCATCCAGCTACTAACTGTGCGCCGCTGAGGGCCAATACCGCAGCTTAGACTGTCAGGTAGCGCTTTACCCGAATGCTTGAGGAGTGTGTACTGTGTTGATTAGTGAAATTGATGTGGATACTTAAGTGGGTATAAGTGGTAAGATTCTACTTTCCATCCTCTCTACTTTCCTGTAAACCCACATCTCGCTCTCTTTCTAGCTGTGCTTCTCTTCGCATAATTCTTTCATTTGCGCCATGGCTGCACCAGCCGCTTCGTTTCATTCCGTCAGCTCACAGCGGTGGATTTTCAAGCTCCGAGCTCGTCTCGGTTCTGGGTGCGGAGCATTGTGAGGAACTGTACTGATCTTGTCCACCTCAACATCTTCAGCAAACCGCACACACATGCAAACACTATATAGCTATGGCCAACCTACTAGCGATGGCCTCCACCCTAGTGAACTAGGATGCGATCTAATTCCTTGATCCGCACTTAATCGAAACCGCAACTCTGCGAATCGTCTTTCCCGAACCTCATAGATAGTCGCACCGATGCCGGCTTCAGAAGGTCCATAGAAATTGTTCAGAGACAAAGGAGCCTAGACGCACATCGAAGCAAACTTCTATATAGCAAACATTGTTCCTAGTAGTACGGCCAGGAGCCCCTAGCAGCTTCTATGTAGACACATTATAGACAACTATATGTAGACATGCTGTGAACACATGCGTTAGACTTGGGACTCTTACGCCTGCTTCTAGATTGGAGGCCAATTGCTAGTAACTCAAAAAGACTAGCAAAATCCACATGTTTACAATATAGTGGAAACAATGTTCACTACTAGGAACATGTACATCGCTTCTAGTAACAAGTGCCTTACTAGTAGTAACAAGAAGCTACAGAATCCAATTCTCTTGTTGCTTGAATTAAACGGATGCCTCAAGGATCCGGTGCGCCAATCTTAAGGAGCAGGCCTTCAACACGCTGCCAAACTGCTGGTTTCTTTGTCTGGCGTTTTCTCTGGTTTAATGCTGTGGCTCCCATGCCTCACCAACAACCACCAAAGATCGAAGACTTCGTGGCAAGGCGGAAGATTCCAGGATCTCCTAAGCACCGCGCGCACACCCTGGCACACTTGGCACCATTCTTGCTTAGTAGGCGGGTGTCAAAAGCGAGTGCTAAAGCAAAGTGGCGAAAAAAGAGTGCCTAAGGTGGCAAAACACGCCGGGAATAGGAATTGTGTCTGTGATTTGTGTACAACACATGGCATGCAGAGCTTGGCACTACACCCCAAGTCGGTTCAATTGCGTGAAAGCATCTGCGAGCAAAGATGGCACAAACAGAGCGTGGCTCACGCGGTGCTCATCGACCAGGGCTGAAATATATTGGAAATCCTGCCAGGATGACATATCAACTACATAGTATTATCAAAAGTATATATACGTATAGTATATATATAATATATATAAACATAATGTATAGTTTTGTGTATTACACGATGTCTGTTTTTCTTGTTTGCTTGCAATCATTGGTCGGACGGTGTACCGGGTCACGCCTTGGAACCATGTTGTTTGCTGATGACCACCGTTGCACCCGCCAGGATGGCCGGCCAAATCTCGCAGTTGGGCCTGATCGCTACAACCCTTGCGGTTCAAAAATGGTCAGAAAAACTCACGTTACGAAGTTACGAAGTGAAGAACACTCATGTTCGTCAGGCAAGGCGACGCGTCGAATGTCCAAGAGGTATGCTGGAGGACAGCCTGCACCGGACAACAAGCCGAAACGAACTCAACCGAATGAAGGAACAAACGGCGCTTTGTTGTGCAGGACTTTGTTCTTTGTGACTGACATTGTGAGAATGTCTTCGAAAGAATGTGCAGTTCGCATCGGTGACCTGCCCATGCTTGAAGTCAAAATGCTTGCTGGTGAAAAGCACGTGTGCCAGCAACGCCCTCATAGAGAGCAGAACACCTTCCCAACTGGAAACGAAAAAACTGCAAGTTGCCAAATCGATGCATCTTGAAAACATTCCGGTCTGGAGATGCCTTCACGCCATCATTACACTGCAAAACATATTGACAATTTGAGCCTTTGGGTCTTCCCGTGGATCCACCTTGGCAAGTTTGTGTCATACATTTCGGCAGTCTTTCGAATCTTTAGCGCCAAACTGAAACGACTTTGACAGCGCTCACGGTGTTCATAGATGTTAAGCTCTTTGTCGGACGGCAATTCTAAGGCCGTTGCTGGTGAACACCATGAGGCTGGGAGCCTCCATAGAGAGGTATGGCCAGGGTTCTCGTCGAACACGAAGTCTGCCAGGTTTTGTGGAACGACCCGGCAGCTTAAATAGAAACAATGTAGCAAATGCAGCGCAAATGCTGCAAACAATCAATTCCAATGATTTGTCCAACTCATTCCAATGATTTGTCTGGACGGCCTTGCCTGAGATCAAACTCTTTGAGATCTTCAACCATGACTGAAGGCCAACCCAAAGAGTTTGCCAAAGATTGGTGACGTTTCTCAGTTACGAGACACCCCGGTGCAGCATCTTCAGTCATTTGCAAAATCCTTTCCAACGGATGGGACGCATCCAAAGCAAAGTATCCACTTCCTGCCATCCAAGCGCCTAAAGGACCCGCGATCATCCACAGCCCTGGGCCCACCATCAAAGCCACCAAATCTGAAGCTCCCAAGGTTCCTCCACTTTCCACATCTGACGAATGGCATGCCAACTCTTCGAGCAAAGGTGAAGGAAAGGCAGAGGCAGGTGCGTGGCCCGGGCCTGTGGGGCGCTTTCCGCCGATGCTCCCCAACCATGGGGCCACAGAGCCAACAGCGCCAAATTCGGCAGAGCCCGATCGACTCGCCCCACTGGCACTGCGGCTTCGGTTGTCAACGTAGATCGGCTGCGCATGTTCCAACAAACAAGTAGCTAAAAGCTCTGCCCGGCGTAAAACTTCACCAAAAGTAAAAGTGCCTTCAGGGCTCACAACCGCAAACGCAGTTGGATTTTGCCTTGCTCGCTGCACCACCAGCTCAGCCAAAGATTCTGAAGGAAGTGCCCCATGTTGCTCCTCGGGTTTGCACGAGCAGTGTTGCTGCCACAAACAAGATTTACAGCAGAACCTTGGGGTCGCGACGCGCACCCTTTTTTCCACCTTTCATGTGAACCACTGAAGCATCTGGCGCCCGTTGCCGAAAGATCAGTGGCCCTGCTTTGCGGGCCAGTCCCACCAGTTCAAAAACAATGGAAACCAAACGAGCATCGGCAGCATGGGCCCTTGCAAGCAGGCAGCTCCAGTTTCTAAGATGCAATAGGGCTGCGGTTTGTCAGCTGTACTATAATGTATCTACACATGCATCCGGGTACCACGCTTAAAGGTGGATGCGTCTGGCGTGCATCCCTTGCAGAGCTTCAAGATCTCATGGGCGCGGCCCTTGTGTGGATGTTCAATATCGCACAAGCACAAATTCAATCCACATGCAAGACCGCTCTGCCTCCAAGTAGTAGGCCTTCAGGAGCCTATCGTTGATCTCGCACCGAATTGCCTTTCTACAATCCAGTCGTGCCAAGACTCAAGCCGCCATAGACCTGAAAGCGCGCCTGGTCACACACTTGAACACGATCCACAGCAGCACGTGCTGAAGCAAAACACAGTGCTGATCCTGAAAGCTAGGTCCAGCTAGGTCTGTGAAGACCAAGCCGCCTGCATTGGGCTCAATCATTAGGCTTTCGCTGTCTGGAGCACAGCTAGCAACGCCACCATCAAAGCGCGCTTCCATTCCACGCCCCCACGGCGCTCACTGCGCTGACATTCTTGTAGTCCTCATAGCGCTGGATCTCCTGCCCTGCTTCTTCTTGGGCACGCTGTAGCTGCAAATCCCAAACTTCTGCCTAAAGCTACCCAAAGCCGAAATCAGCTGCGTGAAGGCTGAACAGCTTCCTCTGGGGCGCTTCCTGCACCAACCCAAAGCTCCTTCATGAAGAGGTGCCAAATCTGTGATATACTTGCTGCGTGTCAAGAACATATTGCCCCCAAAGATTTCTGAAGCCTCTCTACACCGCGCGCTAGGATGGCCTGGTTTGGGGTGATGAGCGGGCGCTCTTTACTCGGAGTCCCTGTAGGGGTGGAAGGCGGATTTAGTCTGGCCCTCCTTCTTGCCTTGCTGGATCGAACGGCCCCCCTCAGCCACACTTCTCCCTCCCTTCCGCCACGTAGTGCCATCTTTAGAAATTGGTAGAAGAAGCGACTGATGGTCTTCCCCGCTTCGACTAAGGTCGGTGCCTGTACCTTGGCCTTGATGAGAAATTCATCCTGTTGCTTTGTGTTGCGCTGCTGTCTTGGCTGCGCCTTCCAAGACTGATTAAAGCTAGGCCTTCCGGGACAGATCGAAGCCGGCGACCGGCAAGCGATCGTTTCTCCCATTCCAGTGCTTCCACATAGCCCTGTTGCACGGGAGGTGCAGTTCTGAGGGTTCATCGTGGGGGGCTGCCATCCTTGCTGTACGTCAGAAACAAGTGCATCGCTTCTAGTAACAAGTGCCTTACTAGTAGTAACAAGAAGCCATTAGTGGCTAGTAGAAACAAGTGCATCGCTACTAGGAGCAAGAAGCTATTAGTAACAAGTGCCACGCTACTAGTCCAAAAATGGCTGGCCTCTTGCACCCCTTGGCCAGCGACGAACTGGAGCCCACCCTTCAGGGGGGGGCCAGGCTCCACTCCGTGCGAAGCGATCGTTGCAGCCCACAAGCTGTTTTGGCTAGATGGGGCGCTGGATCCGACATCCGTGAACGGCAGGACATGCGTGAATGTGATCATGATTTCATGTTGAAATATTTTGGAAAAACATCTATTCACAGAACTTATGTAATGTGTGCTTGCTCTTGATTAAAAGATGTCTGGCGTTTCTGCTGCGCCCGTCCTGCCACGGACTGATTGCCCGACTTTGGAGTCGCAAATCTTCGGGATGAACAAACTGGATTTGTGCAACATCGCAGGAGGGTTCTGCCACGATACGTTCCAAGAGACGCTGGTATTCTGCCTGCAAACGCAAAACAGTCTCACGAGAATATGAGGTGAAGCAATACTGCAAATTCCCGATGAGGCATGGAGATCCAGAATCACAGAAAGCCATCATCATAGCCAAGTCAAATTGTACATAGCGCTGCCCAAGTGCCATGGATTCCAAGTGCAATTCAGAGCCCAACGGAACTTCCGAGCCCTCGTGCCCCATGAAAAAGGAGGGCAACTGTGTGGAGAAGGTGAACGAATCTGGAGTGGATTGAAAAAACGAAGATGGCTTGCAAAACGTCTCTAAGATCCAAATTGAGTTCTTCACAGATTTCGCCGAAGGCATTTGGATCTTGGAATTGCAAGGCCTGTCGCGTCTCTTGGCAAATCTGACTTAGAAAGTGACGAAAGGAGGTGCCCTTTCGGACGGACGCACGAATGCACACGGGCGTGACAAAATAACCCACGCAACTCTCGGACTCCAAGGTGTTGCGACATGCCAAAGGAGTTCCAATACACATGTCCTCCATGTCTTCCTCAGCATATCGAGAAAGAAGTACCATCCAAGCTGCTAATAAAATGGCATGAAGTGAAGCTTCACATTCTTCACCCAACTTGATGAGTTTCTCCGAAAGGTGCCGACTCAATTCAAAGTCCACCTTGCTTCCTTTGAAACTTCGACTTGGCGTTTTCGCTTTCCTTTGTTCATCGCCATCGCTTTGCTTGGCACTTTTGACGCTTTGCTTCCAGCTCTCTTCGGCCAAGGGGAGTAAGCGTCGGGACGGCGGTCTGGGCGAAAGTCTTCGTCGCCAAAAGTCCTTGGCCGTGGAGTTGGCGTCACGAGCCGCTGCACTCGCTCGACTTAAAGCACCATAGGAGGGCGCCACAGTGGGCCATTGGACGTCTGCGGTGGCGTTTGAACGCCCTTTCAGCTGGTCATAAGCGAAGCCCAAATCTCGCAGCAGTAAGGTATAGCCTCAACTTGAATTATTTGGACCTTCAAACAAACTAACAAGGACATCGTTACTAGCAGCTTCGGTTTCACAATTGGATCAAAGGAACTCCAAAGATCAGCAGCAACATGGTGCAAGGTCCAATGCAAAATCCATGCGTCACTGGATTCTTTGATGACTCTGACTCGGCAAAGAGGTCCATTGCATAAATCGAAAGGTTCATATTGTTGGTCCAAGACCCATTCGGCCAAATCTGCTGGTGGATCCATGAATAAGAAATCCAAGCAGTCACCTGACTGCACCTGGCAAAGAGCTGAATCCCGAAAAGTAGAGCGTAACGCGTCATGCCGCAGCTGGACAGCCACAAAGGCTTGATGAAGACGTTCAACGTCTAAACAACCTCTGACATGGCAGCAGAACGTCAGGTTGAGCGCGCGTGAAGCATCAGCACTCATTGCAGCCATCCCTCCCAAAGAGACTTGTTGGTAGCTCGCAGGATAATCTGCAACAGGTGGATTCTCTGCAACTTCCTGGCGATGGCCTCCAGCCGCTCCAGCCGCCCTTCCTCTTTCCTCCAGCATTGCTGCCAGCTGCCTTACGCTTGGAGCTGCGTAAATGTCGGTGATGCAGACGTCACGCATTAACTCTCGACGAATCCGGTTCACCAACTGCCCAACGGAGATGGAATGACCGCCCAAAGCAAAGAACGACACGGAGCTGGAGACCTGGAAAGGTGAAATCCAAAACCGCTACTAGTAACAAGTGCCACGCTAGTAGTAACAGGTGCCTTACTAGTAGTAACAAAAAGCTATTATTTAACTTAATTCTAATTCAGGTGTCCATTTAGCCTGGGAGATATTGCGCTTCAGGACGGTGGCGAAGATGCTTTGAAGTTCCTCCTGAGCAAAGGCAAGGATTAAACACAAAAAACGTAGACAAAACACTGAGACAAAAAGCGCAAAATTAGTTAGAGGTGCGTGAGTGATATATGTGGGCGGGATGGATTCAGAAGCTTTGGCTGCGCCAGGTTGCAGAAGTTCGCTGAACTTGCGAATTGCGAGCCAACACAACCACCGCTCTGACCACTCAATTGAAACCACTGCCAAACAATACCACAATCCAGCACAAATCACATTAAATCATCTCATGTCACTGCCAGTATATTTGCGCACCACTGTCATGCACACAATGACTTCCATCCCCCGCGTTGTGCGGTTCTTATTTCACGCGCCGGACGCACAATGACTTCCATCTGTGTCAGATCGTCGGACCGACCTTGCGGCTGTCGCGACGCCTTCCAGCTTCGCCTTGGGATGAATCTCCCCGTTTGTAGCTTCTTGTTACTACTAGTAACAAGTGCCTCGCTAGTAGTAACAAAGTAGAATTATATTAAATTGTTACTAGAAGCGATGCACTTGTTACTAGTAGCTTCTTGTTACTAGTAGCTTCTTGCTCCTTGTAGCGATACCAGGAGCCCCCTCCATGTAAAGTTGCCAATTTTCGTTTCACC